ATTGTGCTTTATGACTGCATCACTTAGCAACAGAAATTCTGGTCTTAATTACCATCGTTAAGAGAGGACTGTCTGTAGTTAATAGTTGATGTCTGTTTTTGTAATATTTATGCCTTTGCCTTCTCACACTGATTTGTGGCAGGAATGTAGCTTCTGTGAAGATCCTCGTTTTGCCAGAACTGGTGTTTGCATTAGCTGTGATGCTGGGATGTGTCGAGCTTATTTCCATGTGACTTGTGCTCAGAAAGAAGGCCTGTTGTCAGAAGCTGCAGCAGAGGAGGTAAATAAATGAGAGTACTCTAGTTATCCCATCTGAGGTAGGATCTGTTACTGTTAAAATTTCAAATGGACATATTAAAATATCACAGGCATACAATAGGCGTTATATTTTGGTATCCTGAAGCCCTCCTGAAGTGCAAGGTAGTCTTGGTGAAAAACTTATTTAATATTTAGGGTCCAATAGCATGCTTTATTTTAAAGTTGATTGGTTAAAATTTTTACTATATAATGATACTGTACTTTGTTTGCCTTTTCTTTCTGTTTTCTTTGGAGACAAGGTTGTTTTTGATAGAAAGAATTTCTCCTGCAATTGCTTTATACTGAAATAAGTGTAAATAGGTTGATTATGACCTTCAGCTCCATTACAGTTGAGTGCTTCTCTAATCAGATAACAAAGTGTTCAGATGCCCCATGCCATCTTCCATTTTTGTCTGATATTTTTTCAGATAATAATCTATCAGTCATGGTTGTTGTACAATATCTGTTGAAAACTAAAAGGCTGATTTTGTTAGCAAAAATACATTGTCAATTGTGTTGTTTGTGAACTGACAGAAATAACAATATTTTTTTTATGTACATAAAATAAATAATTCCATAAGCCTATAGTTTTCTAGAAGTTGATAATGTTTTTAAATTTGACTTGCCTTCATTAAAAAAATGAACAACATGAATTATTCACATTCTGATTGAATAGAACTGTTTTATAAGCTTTAATATTCTTCATTTTTGTTTCATTGCAATAGGATATTGCAGATCCTTTCTTTGCTTACTGTAAACAACATGCAGACAGAATGGATAGGAAATGGAAGCGTAAGAACTATTTGGCTTTGCAGTCATACTGCAAAATGTCTTTGCAAGAGAGAGAAAAACAACTTTCACCCGAAGCTCAGGTATTATAGCTATGTTTGCTTGTGGTTGGTATAGGCTTTTGAATAAAAATCACGAGGCCAAATTAAGTGAAGCAAGCATTTCTGGAAACACTGATACTCAAATATTTTGTTTACCTTTTTGAAAACAGTTTAACATGTTTTCTTGACTTAAATTAACATTTATCCTGTTTCTCAGCTACTTCAGTTTCCATGACTCCACTTCTTCACCCATCTCAATAAATCCAGTCCCTCACCATTAGGCCCCTAGTCTTACCTAACTCTCAGCTTGAGTATTTACCACTATTACACTCTATGCCAAGTTCTGACTTCCTTTATTTTTGTTATGCTGAATTACTTTTAGATATGCTTGGTCAGACAATTGAGACACCTTATTTCTAAGCGAAGGAACATAACTGATATATTTCTCCCATATAAATTGACTTTCTAAAAAGTTTGGATAGAATCTCATGAAAGAACTCAAAGTAAATTTACTGATCATGTGATAAGTAGAAGGTCCTCTAATGAATCAGTAAATGGCTAAAGAATATGAAGCTAAGAATAAAAATAAAAGGATAGTTCTGGCTATAGGGAACATGTATGTGGATAGTGAAGTTCCTCAAGGATCTCTTTTGAAGTTGAGTTAATGGAGAACAGTGACATGGCCAAATTAACGAATGATATCAAAGTATTATGTTTAAAAGTTGAAATAGTAAAGAACTCCCAAGAAGAGACTCTTTTGCAGAAATGGGGATTAAAATGACAATTACAGTTCAGGTTAAATAGGTGATTCACATTGGGACTTGTATCCTAATTTTGTATATATGATAATATATCTAAACTGGTAATGATTGCTGAGGACAGATATTTTGTGGTAGTGGTTAGCTTGATTAACCTAATGCATGGTCACAACAAGGTTTAACAATAGCTGCCAATTTGGATAGAATAAAAAGGACTTAGATATTGAAAGATTTGTCAGTGGCAACTGATCCTGATGGCTATATTTTATTTTCATAATCACAAGCAATATTCCTCTGAGAGATGGTTGCTGGGTTAAACATTTAGCGGAAGACCACTGCTCTCATGTTCTGCTGGGTAGGTTTCCCAAATGCATCAAATTGACTAGCAGGGCTCTTCTTGGGTGCTATGAATTGGAAAATGTCAAATTGCTTTTGAAGAAAAACGGATTATGAGGAAAATACATGCCATTATCAGACTACTTAAGTTGCTGGATTGCATGATGGGATAACATGCTCTTGAATAATGCAGGGTCACTATAGATTCTATAGTAGAATCTCTTGACAGATAAATTAGTTTGTGGTATTAAGAGCATTTTTTCTTCACTAAAATATGAATGTGTAGTTTTTAAAAATGAAGTTAAGTTTCTTTCTTTCTTTCCCTTGATTTTGTATGCTACAACATTTGATTTTGTGCCATGTGTTTTTAAACTGCATAGGCACGAATTAATGCCAGACTTCAGCAGTACCGTGCTAAAGCAGAACTAGCACGCACCACGAGACCACAGGCATGGATTCCAAGAGAGAAACTGCCACGGCCGCTCACTAGCAGTGCTTCAGCAATACGTAAGCTCATGCGCAAAGCTGAATTAATGGGCATTAGTACAGACATCTTTCCAGTTGACACTTCAGACACCAGTTCCAGTGTGGATGGAAGACGAAAGCATAAACAGCCAGCGTTGACTGCTGATTTTGTGAATTATTATCTTGGTAAGTCCAAAATATTCATATTCAATTTTTGAAGCTACTTTTGGCAGTAGCCTAATAGTTCTTGGTCAATGGGGTGAAGCAAATTGAAATGGCAGGGTTGATAAACAGTGTCTTCTGTCGCAGTTCACTTAGTCTTGTTCTGTCTTCAGAAAACATTGGATTTCTATACTACTCTCATCTCTCTGAAGCAACTAAGAAAGAACTGACCTTCACCTTTTCCTTTCCCCTTCCCAACATGCTTTAGATAGGGGATAGAGATTGAGTTTTCTTTCCTTTGTGGTTAGAGGAACTGACTCCCTGAGGCCTTTCAAGATTTATCTTATCCCCTCTTCCCATCATTGTAGCTCTCAGGAACAGCTATTGTCACTCTAGGCAAGTAGCTCCATTATCTGATAGACAGCCGGGTGATGTGAACCTGCTATAGCTCATCATGGGCTCCATGAGGCCTTAGATTATTTCAGATCCACAATTCTAAGTTTCCCAAAATATGGTATCCACTAGGAATGAAGTGAAAATACAAGGTTCAGATTTATTTTTCAATAAAGGACAGAAAAGTTTATACCTAGAAGCCAGACCAGTGGTTGAAGTTATTGAGTTACACTCTGAAGAATAGAGAAATACAGTGATACCTCGGGTCACGAACGCTTCTGTTCACGAACAATTCGGTTCACGAAAGCACCATTCGCAAAATTTTGCTTCCGTTCACGAACTCCGCATCGGGTGACGAACAGGATCCACGGCC